CCACCTAGGATGGGGAAATCCCACCCTTAGATAAAGAGCTACAGGCAATTAATGGAAGCCAACAGCAGTGAGAAGCACTATGCTGTTTTTGCATATACAAGTCCTGAAGGTAGATGGATTACTTTCTAAAGCCTCGGGCATGAAACTAGTACCAACCCCTGTCAATAGTAATCTACAAAAATTAGTTACATCAAGTAGTCTCTTCATTTATTTATCTGTGATAACAGAGTAAGTTACAGCTTGCAGAGAAATACTAAGGTCAAAAGAATATTTAATGATCATCCAGGGAAGTCACCTTTGTTTTAAAGGAGAAGCTGAGACCAGGGAAGTTATGTTTTTCTTTTAGTTATAAAATATAACTAAAATATCCTTTCCAGTGATGTTTGTTTGTTTGTTTGTTTGTTTGTTTGTTTGTTTTGGTCACGGTCATTCACCTCAGCCTCAGTGATTACATCCACCTTGGAAACTGACAATGAAGCTCTGATGTCTCCATCTAGGCCTTTCTTTGTTGTCTCAGAAGCAAAAGCTCACAGTAGAGGACCTGCAAGCTGAGAGGAGCTCCCATTCTCAGCAGTGATATAGGCAAGCCAGGGGCCCAGAAGAGCACAGGGGCTAGAGATGCAATCGAGCAGCCATCTTTTCCCCTTGTTTGCTATCTGGTGCATTTGAAGGACATGAACAATGGTTCTGGCTCTTGGAAATTTGGAGAAGACAACAATGGCTGTCAACACAGGTAACTACTGGTCAAAGATGTAAGGCAACCAGTTCAAGAGCGAGGTTGGGAAGCATTGGCATGAACCCAACAAAACCTAAGCTTCCTTCATCTGGACCCTTTCTTGTCCTGTGAAAGCCTAACTTTCATTCATAATTTTTTATTTGTCTTCTTACTGGGACCCTCCCAAACTGTGTAAAAACTTCTCTCTGTGTGTCTTTCTGTGTGTGTCTGTCTCTCTGTCTCTCTCTTCAGTTTTTTGAGACAGGGTTTCTCTATATAGCTTTGGCTGTCCTGGAACTAACTCTGTAGAGCAAGCTGGCCTCAAACTTACAAAGATTCACCTGCCTCTGCCTCCCAATATCTGGATGCCTGGCAGCCTCTAAAAACCTTCTGGTGATAGGATGTACTCCAAAATTCAAAGTCCTTGAAAGTCCAAATGGTATCAGTAATAGTTTTCAAAGTGGGAGAGATAATGTTGAAACTTCTACAAGCTAAATGATAGATAGTCTTTTTCATGTGAACATTTAGGATCTCTTTCCTCTTGGTTTATTATTGAATTTAATTTAACAGTTTCTACTAAAATTATATTTCTAAGCAACAAGGATAATTTAAGAAGCAATTATAAATGAGATGTTCAATAGAGCTGTTTTGCATATTTATTGCATTTTCATATCTTGGAAACAGGATAGAGGTAAAAAACCATGAAATCTTGATTTCTATTTAGATAGAGATTTATCATTATTTGTAAGATACGTCCACTATGGTTTTACTTTAAAACCACAAATAAAGTTTTAACAATGGGCATTTTTCTTGTTGAGAGGTCTGTGGTCAGACTAAACATCTCACAGAACCTGATTAGATCCTGAGGTTTTCAAATTCAATATTCAGCAAATACAGGGCACTTCTTTGGCCATAAGAAATAATTAAGAACTTCAGAGATGATGGAACGTGCCTGATCCTGCTTCTCTTTCTATGATGACATGATAATCAGACATAACCTCTTCTTGTATTGAACCTCATTGAGACAGAATAAAGCACTGATAACTCATAACAATCTATGTGACATTGCTTTAAGTTTTCCTATCATCAAGGCCTACATTTGCCAGTAGTCAAGTCAGGAAATTTTTATGTTATTAAATGCTTTCCTGTTCTTCCCAATTATTCTGAATCCAGAAAAGTAGACACTCAGTCATTATGTGAAGACAAAGGAACATTGAATGGTTAATTATACAACAGCCAGAACTGTCCACTGTGTATTCATTCTTATAATAGATCACTGGAGGATGAATTAGCATATTTAGTCCAAAATCTTGTGAAATAGAAATGGGATTGTTTTAGTGGCTAACATTTGCACGACAGCCTCAGACTACAAAGACAGCTGGTATAAGATAGCGCAGGGCTCTGAATAATGGGAAGAAGAGGTGAGTCACATGATAAGTGAGTCACGTGGTAAGTGTGTCTGGTGATGCCTGAGATTCACTTTTCCTGTATCCTCCAGATATTCTTGCTTCTCTAGAAATTCTCTTCCCATGACAGTCTTAAAATCAAATGTGCAAAAGTCATTGAGTTGTAGCATTTTCTGTAGTGTTTTTCTTACTGGAAGAGATCTTCAAAGGTCACCTAGATCACCCCCATCTCCAGCCAGATGCTTCCTAATACTGAATATAGCCTTATAGTGATCTGCATTAAGAAAGCTTTTAAAGATCCCTGGGGTTGGTCAAAAAATAGCTAATATTGGCCTGATTCATAGACCAGCATTATATGAATGTCAAAATAGCCACCTTCATCAAGGAAGGCATCCATCAGGGCTGTTAAGTGCTGGGGCCAGCTTCATGAGGGAACACTGTACTTTCTCAAAGAACGGGTGGAAGAAATGACCAAATGTGGTAATAGTTTTTGCTTAGTTATTTCAATGCTGTCAAATAAGGAAACATTGTCACACCAAAGAGTAAGGCAAGAAATTCTAGAGGTGACTAAAAGCTGTTTTCAGCAAGATCTGTTTAGAATCAAGTTATTGAGGAGCAGGTGATAAAACGTGAGAACAATATTGATGAACCTGATTTTAAAGCGACCTCCTCCACCCCTTCAGCTGCGATTGCTAGCACTGATCTTATTTCAATTCCGTTAAATGATGGGTGAGAAGGACAAGAATTCAAGTGGAATTTCAAATTCCTAACATAACTGTCACACTGCTGTGGATCAAGAAAAGAAACCTTCCGTTTTTTTTTTTTTTTTTTTTTTTTTTTTTAGACTTGTAGATGATTAGAGTCGGAACGCTTGCACTGAAGTCTAGAAAAAAATGGAGTAAGGTCCTATGTGACTCCTTTGTATCTGTAAGACTTTCTGTTGAACTCTATGGGGATCTTAAGGAAATGGGGATAAAGCAGGGTAAAGTCCTAACTTGATCATTGTATGAAGCACCCACTTGCTTTCATGAGTTTGTATTGCATTTTTCTTCATAGTTATTTGGATATGAGGTGACCCAGGAGCCTTGTTGGCTGTGGGCTCCTTCTGGAGAAGGGAGGATGAGTGGAAGTAACAGCAGAGAGTTTTTGTTTATTTTTTTAATCTATTCTCTTGCCAGATTTCAAATTGGATGTCTTCTAAGAAATTCATTTGAAAATATTCCACGGGTTAAAACAGACAAGTTTCGGCGGTGGTGGCACATACCTTTAATTCTAGCACTCAGGAGGCAGTATCTCTGTGAGCTTGGGGCCAGCCTGGCTTGCAGAGTGGCAGGACAGCCAGGGCTACACAACACTGTCTCAAAAAACTAAAACAAACAAAACCAGACAAGTACCCCGTGTTCTGAGCCACAGCTTGGCCTGGGTTATAGAAAGAGAATGCTCTTACTACAGACCTTTCCCAGCCTTCTTTGTGACCTTGGACTATGGAGAGGCCATTGAGATTTTTGATGCAGCTGTTTTCTTAGAGAACACAGAAGAACGAAGAAACAGAGTCTTCATGTCACCTATCCTCTTCCTTTTGTGAGGACAGAAGAACAACCAACAACAACAAAAACTCCAGCAGATCTCCCCAAGCGTCTGGCTTTTCAGCATTCCCTCAGAGGGCATGTAGCCCATGAGTTAATGTGCATATCCACCATAAAATTAAGGTAAGGGAAGCATTTCCTTAGGCATTTTGAATTTAGCAGAGTAGTTCTCTCCTTGATTTGCCCAGATAATTATGGACAATTGGCTTTGTGTGTATACCCTGGAAGAAGTGTTGCTTTTGCCCGTCGGGGCACACACCTTTAATCCCAGCACCTGGGAGGCAGAGACAGGCAGCTCTCAGAATTCAAGGCCAGCTGGCTCTACAGAGTGAGTTCCAGGACAGTCAGAGCTACACAGAGAAACTCTTCTCAAAAAGAAACAAAAAACAAACTCAAAAGAGGCGGCGGCAGTGGTGGTAGTAATTTTAGGTTACCAAGGTAAACAAATTCCCATTTTATAGTCAAGCAATTCCAAATGAAGGAAACTGAATCAGCTTAAGGAATCAAAGTGAAAGGGATGTTTAAAAAAAAAAAAAAACGCAGAGAATAGTATATTCTGTAACTTTTATTGCAAAAAAAAGTCCAAACCTTTACATGCTATGCCTGACATCAAATGTCATATATAGGCTCACTGCAAGCAAATCTTTCAAAAATATACATACTGTACGTATTTACAATTCAAATTTGAGTAACTGATGTAAAGGTATAATTCAGGTCCTATCCACCCTGTGGATTCGTTCAGCTACTAACTAAACAGCGATTGTCACTTCACGCAGGCACATGAAGAGGTAGGGACCATTTGAACAAACAAACTGGAGTGCAACTAGAAGCTCATCATCGGAGCAGCAGAGCCACACCAAGGAGAGCCTACCAGCCCTGGTCATCTCAGGAAGCCGAAAACGTGTAGCGTGCCCTGGAGAGCAAACCTGAAATAACTCCAGAGAGGCGCCTTTCCGGCCCCATCAGAGGGTTGCCAGAGTTCAGCATCTAAAAAGGCCGCCACTCTGCACCCAAGATTTGCACATGACTAACACAGAAGCCTTTCGGCTGGTAGCCAGACACCTTTTCCCTGATGAGCCAGAATAAAATATGCAAATAAGAGATATCAAAATAATATCTCTATACACGGCCTCTGGAACTCTAAGCCAATTTGGACAGTTCCTTTGCCAAGTAAAATCTGTGCTAATTTCTGCCCATGCCCACCTTCAGCCCAAGCTGAGCTCCTAAGTCTATACAAGAGTGGGGACAGTCTGCCTTCAGCACACCAAAGGTCCTCAGCCTCAGGAAGAGACCTCAGGAAGGCTCCTGAGCCTGAGAAGGGCTTCCTAGGTTCCTGCCAGATTTGCTGGGACTTGTTTCCGACCGGGGAAGCTGAAGGGAGGCCACAGAGGCCGCCAGAAGCCCCTCCCGTTCCCTTTTCTTCTGTTTCATCCTACGGTTCTGGAACCAGATTTTGACCTGGGTGTCATTGAGCTGCAGGCAGCTGGCTATCTCGATGCGTCGGGCTCTGGTGAGGTACTTATTGAAATGAAACTCCTTCTCCAGCTCTGTCAGCTGCTTGGTGCTGAAGTTCGTGCGGATGGCGCTGGAGGGGCTTGCGGCTCCGTAGTCGGAGAGTTTGCCTGCAACACAGAGACAAGGTGTCAGCGGGGCGAGGGGTGCCGGGACTCTGCGGTGGGGCTCAGAATTAGGATCCAAGTCACAGCGCGGCCCCCCTGAGCGGTGGACACAGCTGTGCCCGCAGAAGCGCCCCGCCGACGGCTCTGTCCGTCCGGATGTTCTCAGCGCCTGGGGCATCTTCTGACCCCGGGCTCTGGCCGCAGGGGCTCAGGTGCCTCCCCCCCCCTTCGGCGCCCACCTCCTTACTTTTCTTGGGGGCGTTCCTCTTCACTTTCATCCACTCGAAAGTGCTGAAGGCCACCGGGAGGCCGGAGGCGGGGGAAGCGGGCTTGGGACAGGCTCCGGGGGCCGGGGACCCAGCGTGGAAGGGCCCGGGCTGGCCGTCCGCGCGCTCCTTGAGACACGCGGGGAAGGGGCCGGGCTCGCCGAAGGCGCCGAGGTCCACCTGGCCGCTGAGCAGGTAGGGGCCCCCGCCGGAGAAGACGGCCGAGGTGGCGTAGTGGACGTGCGCCCCGCCGCCGTCCGCCGCCCTCGCCAGCGCGCCCGGGAGCTCCACGGCCGGCCCGGGGCCCAGGAAGCCGTAGTCGGCGGCGGGCGCGGCGCCCCGCTCGTAGGCGCCCTCCAGGGTGCAGGGCGAGAAGCGGGGCGCGCCCGGGGGCGGCGCGGGGGGCGACGGCGCGGGCCGGCCGGCGG